GAGCCTCCAAATCATTCATCAAAATAATAGAAAGAGAAATGAAATGATGAAAAAAAAAATGAGAGGATGTTCTTTTAAAACACAGTACTTAAAATATATTTTACATGTACAAGTCTCAGAAAAGGTAATAAAAAAAGCTCACTGTACATGGCAGGTCACTCTTCTTTGCACATCTAATTTATATCATTTATTCTAAATTTTAATTAATTGTCTTTTTTTTTCTCTCTCTCTCTAGAATCATTTAAACTACTATGGAAATGAACACAACTTAGAAAACCAAGGCAAGGGGAAAAGCACACGCCCACAGTCAAGGCATCCAACAGCCCTTGTGGTCTGAGATGTGACCACCACTGAGATGCTTCCCCAGTGAGGGCATGGCACAAATACTCACATGATAATCAGAGTACAAGACACATTTGCTGTGGTTTTACTCAGCTATCTTATGCTGCCATCCTGTCCTTAGAAACTTAATATTTTAATAATTAGACTATTTTAAAACATTTTTACATGCCTTTATTTTACAAATAGTGCATAATGCACTATGATTTATTATAATAACACTTTTTCAAATATGTATGGCATAAAATAGGACAATTAAACTACAGGCAGTCCCCAGGCTACAAACGAGATCCATTCCTAAGTGTGGCTTTGAGTTGAATTTGTTAGTAAGTTGGAACAGGTACATATGGTTCTTATTTAGATTACTTTAGTGCAAGAGTGGAGCTCTGGTGGCACTGTGGTTAAAGCATTGGGCTGCTAACAAAATGTTCGCAGTTCAAACCCACCAGCTGCTCTACAGGAGAAAATAAGGCAGTCTGCTCCCTTAAAGAGTTACAGCCTTGGAAACCCTATGGAGCAGTTCTACTCTGTCCTATATGGTCACTGTGAGTCAAATGACTCAATGGCAGGGGGTTGTTTTGTGGGGTTTTTTGCACAAGAAAAGGCTGGAAGCCTTTTCAATGTCTTAAGGGCTGTACATGCAGCAAGTGAAGGTAACTGTAATGAAGAATTTGTTGACAGTAGATGTTCATTCAACAGTTTCAAAGTCAGGGCAAATTTACGTAATATTAAAGGGCAAGTCTGAGTTGTCCATAAGTCTAATGTTCATAAACCAGGGACAGCCTGTATTGTAGGCAGAAGAACAGTCTAGATTACTCTGGGTCTAACTTCCCAGTGAAATTTACCAA